CTTTTTTGTTTTATGTAATGAAACACATCATTCCCCTTGTGATTTCTGTGACTTCATGTATGACTCTGAGGATTCTTCAGTCTTAAAAGTAGATGAAGATACTTTCTCTTTGTCCTTTATAGTTTTGTTTAACTACATAATATATTTGAATACCAATACATTTTGTTTTAAAATCATATTCTTATAGAGTATTTAAAGACATTAGGATATGCTAATAAAAGGGAAAGTTTATAAGACTTTATCTCAGTTTTATTTTTAAAAGCAACCAGTCTAAACACAAACATATATAAACATGTTACAAAGAAAAGGACCAAATGTGCTCTAAGGGTTGTGAAATTACTAGTGATTTCTATCTTACCCTAAAAATCCCCTCATTTTCCAAATTTTCTAAAATGAGCACATATGGTATTTATTATCAGAAAACTATGGGGAATGTTACAACTATAGAACTAGAAAAGAAAAACTTGGAGTGGATGGGACTCATAACTATGGAACTACCAGATTGAGACATGAACACAAAAACTTATTTTTGTAAAAACTGTAATAATATGCAGGACACAGAAATAAAACAAGTAAGAGGAAAAACTTACCTCCAAACTTACAGAATCTGGAAATAAATATAGTATGCCAACAGTGTTTATCTCTGTGATAGTAAAGCAATATAAACTATTCTTTAAATCTGGAAAATAATAACAGTCAATTAAAATTTTAAAAATTGTTCAATTTATTAATGATCAGCATTGGAGATATGAACAAAATAAGTATCACCATGATTACTACCCAGAGGAAATTTTAATTACCACACAGTATTCTATCCTATGAATACTCTATCATCTATTTAACCATTTTTTTAGTGCTGAAATTTAGAGTATTTCCCATTAACTCCAAAGTGCCAAACAAATGCTATGATTTTTTAAAAGAAATATTACTGTATATTTTGGCTTTTATTTTAAAAATTCCCAATGGCTTTTAGAGACAGCATCAAGAAGAAGGAAGTGGAAAGTCAGTATTATTCATAAACTAGGCAATTGTTTTATTGTCTGATGTGTTCACTAGTCATGCAGTTGGGTACACCGTACTGACTTTTCAGTACAGGCTCTCACTGCCCACCGCCCCCATCTCACCTCCTCCCTCCTCCTCCCACAGGAAATGTTATGAGAATTTTCCAATCTAAAATCATATAGCTTGTGAAAGATATAGGAAAACAGAATATAGAATATTTAAATCACCACCCAAAGACCATCAGTGCTAACTTTTGGTGTTTTTACACCTTCTAGCATCTCTCTGTAAGTCCCTCCACCACCCACCTCTCTCCTCCCCACATCTCTGGGCTGAAATCAGAGATTGATTTAGGATGAGTGGGATCCCTTGCCCTCTTCAGTTGAACGACATTTTAGTTACATTTCTCTTAGCTCTTTTGAAATTATAAAAGTATAACATCAGATAAAAGTTGAATGAGTAAACTAATAAACATACTGGGTTTCTAGAAAACTCTGCGCCGGGGGTGGGGGGGTGCGGTGGAGGATGAGTGGGAGGTGGATGAATCAGCCATATTAGAGAACCTGGGAAGGTGAGCAGAGTTGGAAACGTGACAGATCTAATAATTTATTGGTTCGGAATTTGTCAATCACTACAGCCCAGCAAATGAGATTAGAGCAGAGTTGTGGGAGGGAAGGGGGTGACGCAGCAAGCTATTTGCACCAAGAAAATTCAGCCAAGAGACAGCTGCGTAATCAAATTGCAGCACCGTTTTTTTTTTTTTTTTTTTCTTGCAGCAGCAGCTGCTTGCGGAGGAGGTCTGCCCACTGCGGCTCTCTGCAGTCTCTGGCCCGCTCCTGCAGCACCGGTCACGGCAGCCATAGCCACCCTCTGCACCCGGCCCAGGCCGCCGCTCCTTCAGTCCGGATCACAAAGCCTCAGAGCTGCTTTTTACCGCGCAGCAGCTCCCGCAGTCCGGCCCCCGCTGCTCGTTCCACCCCTGCCCCGGCCACCGCCGCTTCTGACATTTCGGTGAGTCTTTTCCTGCGGAGGTCAGGTCTCCTGATCTTAGTAGTAGCCACCTTAGGCGTGTAAGGTCCTTTGAAAAATGGCCGAGTCAGCCAACCACAAGGAGCTGTCAGAATCCAGTCAAGAAGAGGCTGGTAATAATATAATGATGGAGAGGCCCAGGGAAAATCGGGAGCGCGGTGAAGATGCCGCTGCTGGGCCTGGAGATGATGGGAAGCGCGGTGAAGAAGCCGCCGGTGGGCTTGGGGAAGAAGGGGAGAAAGGTGAAGATGCTGCTGCTGGGTCCGGGAAAGACGAGCGAAAAGGTGGAGATAATGATGAGGACTCAGACCCAGACCGTCCAAAAGGACTTATCGGTTATCTTTTAGATACAGATTTTGTCGAAAGTCTACCTGTGAAAGTTAAGTACCGTGTGTTAGCCCTTAAAAAGCTTCAAACTAGAGCGGCCAACTTAGAGTCCAAATTCCTGAGGGAATTTCATGACATTGAAAGAAAGTTTGCTGAAATGTATCAGCCCTTACTGGAAAAAAGACGTCAGATCATCAATGCAATCTATGAACCCACGGAAGAGGAATGTGAATATAAATCAGACTCTGAGGACTATGATGATGAGGAAATGTATGATGAGGAAGAGATGTGTGGTAATGAGGAGGGTATGGTACATGAGTATGTGGATGAGGATGAAGGGTATGAGGACTATTATTATGATTATGCTGTTGAGGATGATGATGATGATGATGATGATGATGATGATGACGACGATGACAATGAGGCTACTGGAGAAGAGAATAAAGAAGAAGAGGATCCTAAGGGAATTCCTGATTTTTGGCTGACTGTCTTAAAAAACGTTGACACACTCACTCCTTTGATTAAGAAATATGATGAGCCTATTCTGAAGCTCCTAACAGATATTAAAGTGAAGCTTTCAGATCCTGATGAGCCTCTCAGTTTCACATTAGAATTTCACTTCAAACCCAATGAATATTTCAAAAATGAGCTGTTGACAAAGACCTATGTGCTGAAGTCAAGGCTAGCGTATTATGATCCCCATCCCTATAGGGGAACTGCGATTGAGTATTCCACAGGCTGTGAGATAGATTGGAATGAAGGAAAGAATGTCACTTTGAAAACCATCAAGAAGCAGCAGAAACATCGGATTTGGGGAACAATCCGAACTGTGACTGAAGATTTTCCCAAGGATTCATTCTTCAATTTTTTCTCTCCTCATGGAATCAGCTCAAATGGAGGGGATAGTAATGATGATTTTTTACTTGGTCACAATTTACGTACTTACATAATCCCAAGATCGGTATTATTTTTCTCAGGCGATGCACTTGAATCTCAGCAGGAGGGGGTAGTTAGGGAAGTTAATGATGCAATTTATGACAAAATTATTTATGATAATTGGATGGCTGCCATTGAGGAGGTTAAAGCCTGTTGCAAAAATCTTGAGGCATTAGTAGAAGACATTGATCGCTAAGGCAGAGCATGTATGGCCCTGAAATTAACTGCCTAGATCTAGTTACTCAAGATATAAGAAGTCATGTGTTCTGTATTTTTCTTGTAATGTCAGTTAAAACATGCCTCAGAAATATAAAAAAAAGTTAAAATATTAATTAATTTGACCTTGCATTTTAGTAGTAGAATGTTTTCAAGAAATGTAGACTGTGGTAAATTATTTAAGACATTAATATAGTGCTGTGTAGTTTAATCCTTCTGAAGTCCTTTTGTCATGTAGCTATTAATCTGTGACTGTGAATATTATCAGAAATGCTAAATGAGATCAATATTTGTTTAGAAAGAAAATCCTGGAAAGTACCCCAAGGATTTTGCTGTTGTTTTTTTCTGTTTTTGTTTTCTTGGTCCTTTAGCTAGTGGATTTAATTTTGTTGTGCCTGCTTCATTTTGCAGTAGAAATGCAGCAGAATTTAAAACTTGAATGCTTAAAAAGAGTCCTACATATGGTTAAGAATTTCCGACAAAACTACATTTATTGTTTATAACAGCTTGTTCATAGGCTCTTGTACTTTATGTGGCTGTGATAAATAATGAAACTTAGTCATATCGAGATTATTGTTCATCGGCAAACTTTTAATCACAGTATTTTCAAAAGCTTGCATATATTGTTCTATGTGATTGTATAAACTATGATTATAGTGCATAATTCTCTTTTCCTATAGTATATTGAATCATTCATTGAAAGTGATAACTTTATCATTTCGAAAAGATATTTCATGTTCTTTCACTGCAAAATAAAATGAATAAAAATTTCACCATTTCATGTTTAAAAACTGATGTTTTTTTCTGAATATAAAAGTAATATGTTCATTGGAGTACATTTGGAAAATACTAAAAAAAAGCATTAATCAAAACAAAAATCCATGTACCCACCTCCCCAAAGATAAGCACTGTTAATGTTTTATTTTCTATAATTATTTTTTTGTGTTTATACCTGCATGCAAATTTACTAACACTATACAAAGATGTACAAAGAAAGTGTATCTTTTTTAGTGTTTATAACTGTGATCTGATCTTAATCTTGAGTTTACCTCCACTCCACTGGGTTGCAGGGAAACAAAAACCTCAATTCTAATAAATCCAGTAACCTCATTGCTATCTAATAATTTAAGCACTCTTTATAAATAACAGGCTCCTGTGTGTTAGTCTGCATTTCATATTTCTTACCTTCCCTTCCACAGTATCATCTGTATATATAGGGGCTTCCATTACTTTATGATATGGGGTGAAGAGTATGCACTGACTGGGAACAATGGGATGTGGTTAATCAGACCTTGTCCCAGAGCTGACTTTACCTTCCTCACCTGTAGAAACACAAGAGATTTGGCTTCTCTTTATGGCAGACTCCATGAAGGTCATACCCATCCCTCTAGGACAAGAGGGAATTTTTTGGCTCCTTCCATGCCACACGGGAGCTGAGAGTGGCTAGGAAATGCTAACTCTCTTTTGTTATTGCTGCCTAGCCACTCTTCCATCCTAGGTGGTTGTGATGTGATCTCACAGAATTATAAACCAAAAGTGGAACAAAAGCTCTTCTGCACCTGACTTATTCTTCCACTATCGAACATGCCTCCTCCTTCAGATTTTGGCCCAGAGAAGTAAGTATATAACGCTGCCTGCCTTTCATATTTCTATCTCATCTCTCTAAAGTCAACCAGAAAGGTAGGTATGAGTTTTTCTTTCCTTTTCCTGCCTGGACAGGACCTTCCTCTAATGTCAAATCTTTTTCCCAGGAATGATGATAGATGTTCATTTGCTTTTCTCTGGGGTTGCAGTAGTTGACAAGATACAGGGAAACAACTTACTATTGTAAGGGAACCAAAATCAGGAGATACTTCCAATGTATACCTGGTAAATATAGACTTTTTCACGCTTTTCACCACCATTAATCTTGACCTCTGTGAAATTCCTGACTCTCCCCAAACCCCTCCTACACACAAAGATTGGGCCCCTTTCAATTGTGTCTACTGTTATTGTGCATTAAAATGTTTGGAGCACAGGTGTACCTCTCTTGCTATTTCACAGAGGAGGCCCAGACATTTTGCAGCACCTCTTGTCCCCTTCTCTTGCCTCCATGAGATAGAACAGTAAAGGTGTTTCTGGGCATGCTCTGAGGTGAGAGCAGACAAGTCTTTTTTGCTGTAGCTCTTACAACAATGACCTTCAGCCAAAGGCAGAAACATACCTATAGTTCAACAAGTTAGGTTTATTTCTCATTGCAGTGAGAGAGAACATGCAACAGGGAACCAGGGAACGCTTCAATCAGTAAGTGGGTGTTAGAAAAAGTACACTGCAGGATTTGGGCTTTGCTTGTGTGATTTGGTGGAGGCTCTAAGGAATTGGGGCTTTACTCTAGATTGGATATTGACAGAAAGTGAAGACAATTTTATGATTGGTAGTTCAATAAATCTTATCCATAAGGAGGAGAGACTAGAACAAGAAGTAAGCTGTAATTGGCAAAGAAGTTATAGCCAGTTGTTTTAGGTTAGATTGAGGTGGGAGGGTGCTTGGTATTTTGTGGGTGGCACGGTGACCTTGTTTTTATCTGTGGTTAGACAAAATAAGTGGTCTTGCTTTGACTCATTTTATTATAGTCCCAGAGTGACCTTGTCTGAGGTTGATATTCTATTAAATGATTTATGTCCTATAAGAGAATAGCATGGCCTCACTGTGAATGCCAGGCCAGCTTCCTGATGTGTGGGACTGCTTTTTATTTTTCTTCCCCTTTTACCTCTTAGGGATGCAATTTGAGGCTTTCATCTCTCCCATAGCTTGAGGTGGCATGGAGGTTCATTCAATTTGGTTTTAGACTAGTCTAAGGGCCCTTTAGGCCTTGAGGGTAAGCCACCAGCTTCAGTCCACATACCAGACATCCCTATACTAGGGTTTAGGACCCAAGTGTGACAAAGTGTAGAATTTTACCTTAATTCTCTTTATATTTGTCTTTAAAAAAGACATACTCACATGGTCCTGGAGGGGTCATTGAGGTGGCTGTTGGGATTTGTCAGAATTTTGGGATTCCTAGGGAATACACTTAAATACATAAATCTAATGCAATTTCATTTGTGGATACATAATAATTCATGGCATAAATCACAATATTCAGTATTATACATCATATGGCAAAGTGGTTGGTCTTTGAAGCCATGCTGCCTAGATTCAAATCTCAAGTCTGTGACTTACTAGTTGGGTGGCTTTGTGCAAATTACCTTATGTATCTCAGTTTTCATTTCTGTAAAAACATGGTAATAGTTAAACATCTACCTCATAAAATTATCACGAAGTATCAAGTAGTTTATATAACGTGCTTAGAACTATGCATGGCACATAAATACTATACATGTGTATCTATTTCATTATTTTCATTAATAAGTTTTTATCTGTAAAATACTCAAAACTGCTATATAGTATGGGTACAGTAAGTTTTTATGAAATTACTAATAATTGTTCCCTTAATTTGTTTCTAATTTACACAAAAGTGAAAACACATATTTTTCATTTTAATAGCAAAAGCTCCAAGATATCTGTAAGTATTGAGAAGGGCTAAATGGGAAGTTTAGGAGCAGTTCTTAAGTTACTGACAAGCTTGGCTAATCAAAAGGAAAACATAGTGACTCTGGCACTACTTCTTCACTGCCAAGTCCATTCATTAGCCATTTGTTCACTGGCCAATAAATATATCATGATACTCATTTAAAAATTTTGTAAACCAGAGAAAAATAGAATATATAAAATAAAAAATCATATGAAATTATATGTCATCCATAGGTATATGACGGATTTGATTTTTCAGTTGCCTCACAAATATATGCAACATGAAGCAGACTATAAAGCAGAAATTCTTTTATAAAGAAATATAAAGAGTAACCTTACACAGAACATATCTCTGAAATGTATCTTCTTCAAATTCTTTGCCAAACAATACAGTTTTTTAAAGTAAAAGAGAAAAGAATGCTCAAAATGAAACAATCTCTGCGTTTTTTTTTTTAAAACCAAAGTAATGATTCATTTGTTGATTCATTCTCAGTGTGTTTTAAGACAATAAAAACTCTCGAGGTCATGCAGCCAATGGATAACCCACCTACCCCCATTCCAGGCTCTCACACACCTGTACACCGCCACTGTCTCTCTGCGTGTGTGTGTTTGCGCACACTTGCACGTGGGATGGGGCGTGAAGTGGGATCGGAGTGCATGAGAGGGGGCAGTCATTAGTCATAAAGGATCCTAGCCTCAGTAAAACTTCTCTCCCTGGGCTTGTGCGTGCACGTAGTGGGAGGGGAGGAGGGAAGAGGCTGAATCATCATGAAGGCCCACTTGCCCCAGTTTAAGTCTCCTCTTTGATCTCCTATCAACAGGGAGCTCGGGGACGTGGGTGTGTGCACACGCGCTGGCCAAAAGGAATGGGCTATCGTGTGTTTTATGAAACCATTTTCTATGTGTAAGAATACATGTCCATGGCCAGTGAAAAGAGAGGCAATCCTGGCGGAGGCATACAAGGATCTGATGCCATAAGCTGCTTTGTAGGAGGCGGGGAGTCGAGGACGCATACGCCCGCCCACCTTGAAGTCAAAGTCTGTCCTCCTATCTGGTAAAGCAGAGGGACCCTAGAGTAGGGAAAGACAAGTGGCAATGTAAAGGGAGGGGTCCCTGTCTGGTTAGCTTTGGTCTGACAGGCACCAGGGAAAACAAAACTTAAGTGGATGGTGAGAGGAGAGTCCTGGAAACGCCATGTAGGAGGTTTTGGATGAGTTTGGCCTTGGAGGGACTCACGTCTCAAGTACCTGTGGAATAGATACCCTTGTGATTGATGAGTTATAATGGCACCTTGGGCCCGGGACAGATTTGGAAGTCAGATGTATATAGATACAAATATGTACATCTATACAATAAATGGTGCATATAAAGGGAGTATTACTGTTTCTGATAGCTACCAAGCCACTTTCATGTAAATACTAGTGTATT